GTGCGGTCTGTGTGTGGTATAAAAAAGTGTATAATTCAAACAGATCTCCATCTTGGTCTTAATAGGGTAGTTTCCTAAATTTTATTTTAATGTCCGTCTGGTACATTAATTTAAAACTTTAGACACGTATTTTTTCTTTTCTCACAAAATTAAATACTTTCGACGATATATTAATTTGAAATATCGTGTGAAGTCACAACGTGCCACATTTTGTGGCACGTTGTGGTAACGACCTCCCACTCCTAAACTTAGCGCCATTTTATCTAAGTATTACAACTTAATACGAGAAAATAAAAAAATACTTGTCAAATATTTTTTCGTTATTTAACTGACGGACTAATGAGATTTTTAATTTTGATACCCTGGCAACAACCCAATTACCAATAAAAGTAATAAATGAAATTCAATATTTCATAATAATTTTTATTAGTACTTTACGACTTCCAAAAATTATAAACATAGGTACCAAAGTCATTAAGGAATGCAATATTTTTTTCATTAATTGATTCTTTAAGTTAATTCGCCTGCAGGAGAGCTTAAAACATTCTTATTTTATTGTTGTGTTTCAAGAAGATCACTTTTTGCATATAATATAATTTTGATTGCGTTCGCTCATGGTCGGTATTACGTGTTGCGATGGACATTAAGCGATACCCAAGAGTATTTTAAACTTAAAAGTTTTTTAAATATTATAACTGCATTTTTAAAACCGTTAGGCTGATTGTTGAAAAGTTTTAAAAAAAGAAATGTAACATTTCATTTACTCTAAATAGCACAACAATTTGAATATTAATTTGAGGTTCACATATAAACGAAAAAATTAACCTAATCTCCGTTAGTTAAACATTAAAGCGACCATAAACGGTTTTCGGGTTAATCGGCGCGATAAACAGAATCAAACGTGTGTAATATTTTACAATCAGGTGGCGAGAACTGGCGGCCTTAATCTCACAACTTGAAGAATACGTCAACAGGCAATCTTTACATTAATTTCGGCTCACTTGCGTTACGAAACTAGCATACTTATCGGTAAAAACAAACACCACGCTATCGCATACCAAACCAATCCATTTGATAGAAATTGTCTGCTATCGAAGTACGAAATCTCCATTCGAAGTCCATAAAGTTGTTATTAGACTTTTACGATCTCAATCTAAGAGACCACCTCGGTTTACGCTTCGGGCATTTCAAATGTTCTATTGAGCCATTATCACAATTTCGTTTAACTGATTGTGAATACCAAAATATGTAATTACGGTCTAGATTAAGAGTGATATTAACATCTATGGTGTTATTACGGGACTATTTGAGTGTCTATGAGGACATGTAATTAAACCGTCTTCATTGCATGCCGTTAGAAAAAATAGGACAGCCCTGATTTATGTCATTGGTCTTGAACTGGTTCGTGTTGTATAACTTACGTCTAGGAGACGTCTGGTCTGCATAAGTATAGTTCAGAACGGTCGTGTGAGCAAAAACATTGACAAAAACTCCTATAGTAATATTCGTTGTGTACAAAAAAGCAACAGTTGCCTGTCATGGCGCTGATTGGGCCTATATTTAATTCTGTATCATCAGTTCTAAAAATTTACTACTAATGCCCACTAAAAACACCTAATTCAAAGTCTGCTACCAATTAAAACAAGTAATAATTTCTATGTAATATGTACCTATTTAAGGACTTTAACTTAAATTTAGTAGGTAAACTTAACATTCAGATCTTATTTTACTTAAGACTATCATCATAATATAAATGACATTAAAACTAATGACTAATTTTTATTTCAATGTCCGCTTGGTAGATTTTTTAAAAACAATAGACCCGTATTTTTTATTTTCTTACGAAAACGAATAGTTTCGAAGATATATTGATTTGAAATATCGCATGACGTCACTTTTGAGTACGATTTATACTCAAATATGACGTAGCTACCTTCCACTCTTAAACTTTGATTCGTTTCATCAAGTATTGTTTTCTTATACGACAAAATAAAAAAATACGTGTCTAATATTTTTTCATTACCTAACTGACGGACTAATTAGATTTTTATTTTTCATACCCTATCATCATCCCTATTAAGTATGTAAGTGTTCCTTTGGAGGAGTACCTACCTCAGCAAGGACGTTGAATAAAAGGCGGACATAGTCTTTTAAAACAACGACTGTGGCACCTGGCTACTATAGACTTACATGCAGAACATACACACATTGACACAAAGGACATCTGTAATTTTCTTAAGTCTGGTAACGTGGTAACCATTACACACGCACACATAAATAAACTACTGACATTTTGGTGCTTCAATCACTTCTAAGTGACATTATGTCCTCAACGTCCTTGGTACTGTGTGATACTTTACTTCTAAAATTTTATAAAGAGTATTATGAACAGGCACGGCTAAAACCCCATTGCCACTGTAGAGGTATAATGTAAAAAAAATATTACATACCTTAATTTTCCCCATTTATTCCTATGTAACTACATAGTATAAAACAAAGTCGCAATCCGCCGTCTGTCTGTCCCTATATATGCTTAGATCTTTAAAAGTTCGCGGCGGATTTTGATGCGATTTTTTTAATAGATAGAGTGATTCTTAGGGAAGGTTTATATGTATAATACATGGATATTGCACCCGTGCGACGCCGGGGCGGGTCGCTAGTAAAATATAATTTGTTAAACAGCCATATTGGCCACATAAAACTTATTTCTGTAATAATTTTACACGTCGTATTTGCATTACGACTACTTTCGGAGCTCGAAAGTTCATTATTTATTGAACGTATTGTACCGATATTATTCTGCCAATACCCTGCAGCTTTAGACACCTTAATAGATGTCAAACTAGTCTTTAGTTTCTAGCATTTGTAATTGAGTAGCATACAATTTCAATAATTGCGTCCTAATTTATTTTAGCAATAAAACTTTCTAAGTAGAATTATTCTTGTAACCGATTTCAAAACAACAAGGAGGAGAATAGCCTTAACTACTGCTGGCCTCTGCCAGACCTGTCTCTACAGGTGCAGGACGTGTTTCCGCGATAACACTCATATACGCTGCTCATGAGGAATATTCCCTCCGTGACTCGAAACTAGTAGAGCTTTTCTCAGTATATTTACGTAACTCGTAATTTTTAGTCAATTCAGTATGTTTCACGAAAATTTCTACTTACTATGTATTTTTTTCAGTTGTATGTCTAGTCCACCTCATACATTTTTGGTTGAATTAACTAC